GAGAGAGAGAGAGAGAGTGGCCAACAGGTAAGTCTCCAACCCCGCGACTGGCTTCCTACGGTTTCCGACGGCCAGGCCCATGGCCGCCTCTTCCCTCTCTCCTCGCTGGCCTTTTCCGACGCAGCCCCGGTGGTCCTCTTTGCTTGTCTTTTTGCAGCGTTTGCTTTTTGCGCCCGTGCCGGGCCTCTTCGCTTGTCTTTTCGCGCCCACCATTTGGTTTTTACGCCCGCGCTGGTCCTGTCGGTCCCTGGCACGCGCACCATTTGTTTTTTGCGCCCGCGCTGGTCCTCTCGGTCCCTGGCAGACCTGACGACGGCCCCATGGCGGCGTATGTCGGTGGGACCGCTATATCCTTTAAAGGGTACAGGGATAAATACGAATTGAAAGAAAAACAAAGTACAGGCTGTCCTCCTGTGTACCAGTTATGTGCGCAACCAACACGGCATTCATTCGATTCCCCATGACCCCCTGTGTGGCATACTTCGGGTTCACCGACTGAGAAAGTTGGCTTGTCCCTCCTGGCTGTTTGTGGAAGAGTCACACTTTCCAGCTCGCGCCAGGTGTTAGGAGCCTGGGTACTGTTCCCTGCACAGAACAGCCCATGGGATATGCTGAGGTGAAAAGTCCGGAGGCGAAGAATCCAACCCATAACCCCAGCGTTCCCTACTAAGCTAGCAGTATATAGGTAGGTAGTGGGAGGCATATTGAGAGAAGAATGTAGGTTAGTTAAAAAAAAAGAAAAGAAGTACAGGCCGTAGGCAGGCCTGTGCATGGGGCGGAGGAAGGGTACCTGCACTGGTGGTTTAAAAAGGGCTCTATTTTATTGAGGGGAGCAACAACTTTATTATCTTTGCACTGGTTGAAGAATATGCAACAGTTGGGTTTTGTTGGCCAATCAGCCTTGTAAACCACCAGTATGCAGGGATGCTGCACTGGTTAATACAGGGCCGAGGTCAGGTTTTCCCGTCAGGCCAGGGGGGGAGGGGAAGGGGGGCAGATGACAAAATTTTGAGTGTCCCCACATTGGCAATTTTTGGCTCTAATCGCCTCTGACGAAGAAAACCGAAAAAGTTCAAGGATGTATGGTAAGTGCCTCTGTGTAGGGGAAGAACATGAGAACAATAAGATGAGTTAACAAGGTTTTGCCCCACAAAAAGATTCTGGCGCAAATGTGACACACATGGTTGCCACGGTGTGCCCAACCCCCACAATGGTCCACGAGGCCAGGGTTTCTGCAGCATGTGTGGGAAGGGGGTCTCTGCCAGAATCGCCACGCCCTTCTATTCGAGGGAAGGGGCCAGGAATCATTGTCTCTGCCAGAATCGCCACGATGCCAGGGTTTCTGCAGCATGCGTGTAGAGGGCTGGCCCCCTTTCCCGATTATGCTCACCCCTTGCACCCGTTGTCATGGACCTTACGATGAATGCATGCTCCTTTGTAAATAACCGTCTTTCATCCGACATGCCACTTGTTTGGAGTGTTTCGTGGGCATGCTTGATGGCAAGCGTACTTGTGACTGTTGTGCAGGGAATGCTCAGCTAGGTCTTCCATGCCTTTGCCCTTCTCATCGCTACGGTTCATGTCCCCTGTGTCACGGAGGACAGACTGACTCCCGAGTCTTCACTTACCTTTCCCTATGCTATCATCGCTATTCCACAACCATTACTTCCCCTCTGTCTTGCTCTGCTCTTGGCTCTCTTAGTCCCCCTCTCCATCTTGCCGCTCTGCCTTCCCTCTTCCTTTACTCTACCTCTCTTTTACAGCATGCAAGTGGGCTGTTATGGCACAGAGGGGTGTAGGCGGCTTAAAGCTGAACTACACCAATGTAAAGTTTCTGCAATAAACTCAGCTGTGCAATGAGCCTCTTAGTTCAACACCAGTGAGCGCACACAATCACACCTTATGCATGTACGAGATCACACGAGATACACACTGGAGGCCAGAGAGATGAAGACCACGTAGCGCAGCTCAGAATTCCAACAAATTATCATATAAACAATTGAGAGTTTCGGTCACAGGCGCTCACCAGCGCAAACACCAAGTATCCAGAATCTCCACTCAGGTATGTATCTCTTCCCCACTGCCCTTCTCTCTTATGTATCTCTTCCCCTCGCTGGTCTTCTCCCTAGCTATGTCCACGCTGTGTCTTCTCTCCCTACACGCGTGCACACTCACTAACTTCTGCTCAAGGATCTACTCTGAATACATCCACTGCTATGCCCACTGACTCCCTACTAACTACCACTAACACCCTGCACTCGCGCAGCTATGGCTGCCTTCTCCCTGCCACCGCAATCTCTTCCCCCCCCCCCCCTCTCTCTCTCTCTCTCTCTCTCTCTCAGCACGGCATTCTGACTCAGCGCTCTGCCCCTCACTACAGCGCACAACTGCACCAGCACTTCCACACTTCTTGCGAATGAGCAATCTGCCCAATGTGGAGGCTGGCCAGTCCTTTTGTAGTCTTAGGTTCCGGTACCACATCCCCACAGCCTGTCTGCTTTCGAATGTCGAGGTCTGGAACCTTCCCGAATTTCCACTGGGCTGCTGCTGCTTGGGCCTTTGAGCCATGGCTTTTCGATTTTGGCATATGGTTTTGACTGTGCACTGTGACTCCTGCCTTGGGGCACGACTCTTGCCTGTGGACCTGCCCTTTACTCGTGGGATGTGACTCTTCAATATGACTTTTCATTATGAAACGTGATTCTTGCCCTTCAGATGTGACTGTTTGCTGGGTGCCTGTTGGACTGCACTGCTGAGGTACCCGACTGTGACTTTTCTGAAATTGACTGACTTCGGCCTTTCATAGCCAGGGCTTCTGACCCTGAGACCCGAATTTGGGGTCTGAATCATGGAAGGCCTTGCAGCCGAAATCCGCACAGACAAAAGCAGGGGTCGTAACTTGTCAAAGCCCAGTTTCAGGAGTCAAAAGCCGCATCCACAGTCTCAGAAAGGTTTGAGAAAAGTCCTAGGGTCAAGGGGTACGGGGGCCTAAGTCAAAAGAACTGGTCTGATGGGCCCCCATGTGAGACAGTTGACTCCTGGAAAATCAAGAGTCACACCCAGCACGGGAAAAGCAGGCTGGACTAAGTCTTCCCAGTAGTCAACCACAGCCGTAGATCAGATGCACATCAAAGGCTGTCGACAGGTTTCCATAAGATTACAGCACCAACTGGGACATGGCACATGTGGGTCAGTGGTGCATCCAGGTCATCAACATCAGAAAAATCCGGACGGTCGACCAAGTCAGAGGGACGCTGGTCAACACCGGTCAGCGCTACAAGAGGAAGGCCTGGCTCTGGTTGCGTGTACTTGCGGCCAGGTTGCTGCTCGCAACGCTGAGTCGAGGAAAGGCTGGCACCAGATGCTTTGAAGGAGGAGATGCTGGCGGAGCGGCCATAGCCAGGAGCTGCCGCCATAGCTGTAGGAGGGCGATGTGCGAGGAGGAGGAGGATCAGGACTACGAGACTGTGAAGCGGAGAGTGAATGGGAGGAAGCTTACCTGAACTTACCTGGCATTGATAATATTGAAACAACTGCTGATCTCCAGGTGGTTGAGGAAGGTCGTCGTGTACCTCCATAGCCACGGCTATGGTTGAAGGTTGGGTGCCATTGTCGGAGCCTGCACAGAGACTTCGTCAGCGAGAGTCAGAGTGTCTTGCATTGCTGAGGTGGTGATGCTTGAGGGGAAGTACCCAGTGGAGAAGCGGGAGCTGGAAGAGCCGACGGACTTGTATTATTGATTGTGAATGTAACTCTTCTCTCTCCCTTGTCTAGTTCTGACTACTCACTGCTTCAGAAATGTGCAATCGATCGGGTTTGGACTTGTACTCATCTCTGGAGACTGCATTTTTAGTGCAGGTTTGAAACTTGTGTATCATTGCTGGCTGTCCTTTCCAACGAGACTGGGTTCATAACACTTTCGGGGGAAAAAAAAAAAAAAAATGCACAGGAAAAAGGTTAAAAGAACGGTTTCAGTGTGCCTCATGCCGTCTTCTCTTTTCATCGTTTGTTTGGCAAAGAGTGCTCTTTTAGTTGATTGATATGTGACAGTATATAGAGGGTTGCAAGCATGGGCAAAAATCCAGCCCACAAAAAAATAGGTGTGGGTGTACTGGCGGCTTAAACCATCAGTTTGCCCCGCACAGAAACGGAAAATCTGATGGTCCACAAGGAGGCCATTTTAAGGTTCGGCCTACCCGGGGGTGTACAAACTTCTGACTACCCCAATTTTGGCAAATTAAGCAGAGCCCCACCGTTCTTTGAGTAGTGTTTGCCATAATGTTTATTTACTTGCTCTTTGAAGTGCTGACACGTACTGTGACAGTGGCCCCAAACTTGAGCGTACTGCTTAAACCGTCCTCGGTGTTTCTTGAAAGCTCAGTATTTTGAACAGACCCTGTGCGGCCAAAGCAACCCAACTATTATTTTTTAACAACCAAGACAGTAAGCAGGACTAGGGCCAAGCCCCACTGGTGATGTGGTCATGCAAGGAAAACATAAACCTGGCTGCTATCAAGGCCAAGTTCATGCTTTCCAAGCATAAACACAGGACTAGTGGGGCCCGCCCCTTGGATAACTGGGCTGAGCCCTTCCTGTGACGGGGTTTGTTTTCAATCCCCCCTCTCTTTCCCCCGCTCCCTCCGTGCTTTTTGTTTTGACTTGTTTTCAACTCTTCACATTCAAATTTTTGACTGGAGTTAATTTTGTCGTTTAGAGCCATTCCTTTGCAGGCGGTTTGCTTTTTCATTCGTTTTGCTATCTTTGTTTTGTAGAAATTGTTTAGTTTGGAGCATTTCTCAATATTGGTGTGTTATTCTTGCACAGCGGCCATGCTTATCTTTCTGTATTGTGCTTGCTTGTAAATCAAAAGGTTTGGCCTTGCTATAATTTTGATTGTTCAGTTATTTGAACTTATTTCTCTTTTGTTCAAACAGTTCGGGACCTGGGTCCGAGCTCGGGCGGAGATGCCTTGCTTAGTCCATGGGTCCACACCAATTGACATGAGGGAAGCTGGGCCCGTTTCCCAGCATTTGAAATATATGTGTTTTTCCTTCTTTGTCTTCTCTCTGTATCACACCTCGCACTACCTATCCGGACAAGCAACAGATCAGCCGTATTTTTACCTCGCATTACCTACCCCAAGCAAACAGGAGAGACCAACTACCCTATCCCTGAAGTCTACCAGCTAAGAACTATCCTACATTGGGCAGACGGCAGCCTTAAATGTACTAGCCCGAGCTCAACTATCCTAAGGTTATGGGTCTGCCCCTACCTAACTGTGCTCTGTGCGGGGAGCATTACCCAGGCTCCCAAGACCTGGCGAGGGCTGGAAAGTGAGCGGAAATTCCACAACCAGCCAGGATGGATAAACCGACTTTCTCAGCCAGTGAACCCGAAGTATGCCACAGGGATTGCAGGGGATCGAATGGATGGCAGGGGGGATTGAACCCACGACCTCATGTGTACTACTTACGTGCTCAACCAACTGAGCTTGGCCTCCGTAAATCTTTTCTGTGTTGTTGCGAAAGGGCTTTTTTTCCCCTGACACTGCCTGTGAAGGCGTTCTTTTTTTTTTTAAGGTAAAAGGGGCGAGCCCCTGACATTATTTTGCCCATCGAATTCTGTCTGGATTCGAACTCCCGATCAAGCGAGCACTAGGCTACAAGAGTGACCTGGGACCGCTTGCCCGGTCAAGCCACCCAGGCCAGTGCAGCCTGGACCGACAATATATGATATAGCTAGTTTTTAAATTTCCAATTTGGTAAAGAATTTCGGAGTGACCCTCAGGCAAAAGTTGTTTAGTTTTTTATCCTGCATGACATAGTTTTTTTGTTTTCGGAATGTTTGGACTTTTTGTTTCTTTGTTGCCAGGCCCTTGTCGAAGACTTCGCCTGGACCTTGTCCAAGGTGGTCTGGGTGACCCGACTGATAGCCTAGGTTCAGCAACAATTACATGTGCAGATCATCGAGCCACATGGGCTGGGTATATGAAGGTGGCAGTTGTGCTTATTTGAAAAGCAAAGAAGAAGAAAAAGAATGAGGTTTCATTTCAGCCGTCCTTCAGGACATCCATTAAAATGGGAACGATACAGTGAAGATTAGCATGTTCACTTATGGGAGAAAGAAATGCTGCTTTGATTGCAGCAGCTGTGTGTCCTCTGATTAAATGTTCTTCTCTTGTCTGCCGACCTGTATGTTTTCAATCGTTTCGTCAGGCTGATGAGACCCTGAAAGCTGTGCAAGGAGGAGCCAAGCTTCTGCGGCTTATTTTGGAGAAATTCGGACTGGAAAGTCATACAGCAGCAGATCTTCTGGCAACTGCTGTCGCTCTTCATAATGCTGTAGGTTCCAGCTTTCCTTTTTTTTTTTTTTTTTTTTTTTTTTTTTTAACCACCAGTATATCTGGTCGTTCGCAACTGAGCCTCTCCGAAAACTTAGGGGACATAGGACAGGGCCCGCCTGGGGGCGGAAATAAATTTTCTTTTTGTTCAGTGCCGCACCCTGTCCCACCCCAAGGCACGGGACAATTTCTTTTTCCCTCCATGCCCTTGGGACACCCTGCTGTGAGCCTCCAAAATTTCAGGAGAGGCTCAATCACGATTCTCAACTTGGCTGGGGCCACGTACTGGTGGTTTGAGGATGTAGTCACTACCGCCTTCCCCCGAACTCAACATATCCCTATAATGAGTGTATACAAGCTAGTTTTCCAGTCCAATACAGTCGTGATGAGGGTGCGTCGTATTGAGGGGAAGACGCCAGTAGTATTGCATTCACCTCATTCCATGAGGATTCAATCGGATGTTGTCTGTTCAGCTTCCACCTCAACATCATCGCAGTCGATACTTTCTGTTCCAACTTTGTACGTCTGCATGCTCAGGGATCTCAAGGCTCATGCCAAGTAATGAAGTTATGGTGGTAAAAGTACAATTCACAACTTCACAAAGCACAAAATGCGTACTCTCTAAGCTGTTAAAAACTGGGGGGTTCCAAGGGGGTGGGGTGTTCGAAAGCTCGAAAGTCGGAGGACCGTATTAGAAGTATGATGCCTAAAACTCTGACATCTGAAGCTAACAAGTACAGAGTTCCGAGAACAAACTGAAGAAGTTCAAAGTTCACAGAACAAACTAGGGTTAAAATGGGAAAAAGCAAGAAAGGGTGTTGTATCACGACATGGCTACCGTCTTCCTGTGAAAACAATGCACCCCAATCGCCAATATATTCAAGCGATCTTTCCGGTCTGATTCAGTGATGATGAGGGTGTGTTGTGCTCGAGGGAAAATGGCAGTCTCCAGGCTCCCAATTGTACTGTCTTGGCCTCACCTGTCAGTCCTGAATGGTCAATCGGCTGTTCATGAAAGCTCTAGAGGCCAGCGAAAGGTACTCCCACACCCAGAGTGGGATTTGACTGTGTGCAGGTGGGATGCGGAAGCATTTGCGCCAGACGGATTTGATGCCGTGTTTCTTATCAGGGCCAAAGGTAGTGTCTTTGGCCGGTTTTCTGGAGGGTCACTAAACAGGCAGCCCCTTGGCTGCAGGGGACTTGTCTAAAGGACCTGCACAGCATACCATGGTGTGGGATCGGACCGTGTGCAGATGGGGTGTGGGAGTACCTTTCGCTGGCCTCTAGAGGGTCAGTGGAGAGGCAGTCCCTTAAACCACCAGTACTTGGCCCAGCTATCAAGTCCGAGCCTCGGCCGACCGGTATGCCGAGCCTTGCCGAGGCTCGAACTACCGGGCGCTAACTTGCCAAAGCTACTCGGAGAAAAACACTGGAAAAAGAAGAGGAAAAAAAAAAAAAAAACAGAAAATGCAAAAAGAAACGACAGAAAAACGGGATGAAATCCATTATAAAAAAAACATGGAAAAAAGAAAAAGCACAGTCACTACCTCGACATGCACAAAAATAATCATGGCGGTGTATCTTTCCATGTTCTAGTGGAAGATTCACTCTCGTTTTGCACATTTCGAGAG